AATACAATCTTTGTTGAGGACTATGGATGCTTGTTATATTGATGAGGAAGGCTTTTTATTTGAGGTTGACAGATCGAAAGAACTAATTAGATAAAAGAAAAATCATTTAATATTTCTGTAATATTGGTGAAAACAATGGCTAATAAGGCATGGGGTAGTAACTTTAAGAAGAAAGGTTTCCACAATTTTGATATAGTTTTATAGTATTCTTTTGTTTCATTATTGAAAGAGAATTATGGCCATCTTAACATGGAAACACATATCTATATGGTTTGTATTGGGCTATGCTTTTTTGGTCTAGTTATAGGTTGTGAAATGCAAATTACTAGGGTGGAAGAATAATGTAGAATTGAGTCCATTTAACATCATCGTTACCTTTTTTTCATGTTCAATGTATTCTTTGATAGAATGATGTTCAACAAAATGGATGGGCATAAAAGCATTCTAATATGGGCAATTTTTAGCACCATGATAAGAGAATGTTTTTTTTTCTTCATAATTGCAATAAAAAACACTCAAAGCCATGTGCTCGCTCAAGATATGTTATCTCAACCAAACATATTTATTTGAAAAACCCTACTATTTCGGCCCTCCTCACCTATTTTTCCTTTACAAAATTATCGTGCATGATGGTTCCTTTCTCACACATACTTTATGGCTCATTTTTCAAATTCAAAACCAATAAGAGAAGATAAGAAACACCATTAGTGCTTGTCCTTCTTTTTTTGGCTTTGTTTTTCTCCAACAAGTTAACCTTTATATGCCATCCCATGGCACTAACATTAGGTATGAACAATATTAGATAGGGCTCTAGGAATATCCAAGTAACGAGTTTTAGTATGTTTACAAGTTATGTATACATAACAACAAGTTGAAAATAAGGTAAGCAATAACAATACAAGGAATGCTATATACAAATAGTCTTCCGGGAGTCTCTTAACTTTTCTTCACCTTAATGGCCTTACTTTTTGCTTAGTTTAAAGCTAACATCCCATTATGATCATTTGAATACAACATATATCCTAATATTATAAAAACCATAATTGTTATCAACAAATTCCACTTTACAATACCTTTCACTTTCCCTCCTAACTCTTTCATGCCAAGCCTCATTCTTCGTATTTCAATTTTCATTTCAATGACTTCGGATCTAATCTTATCCATTTCTTCAATCAACTCTTTTTCTATTTGCTTCCTCTTTTTTGCTTCAATACCAATTAAACTTGAATTTACTTTTCTAAGTATTTCTACTAACTTCATTCTTTCAACTCTTGAATGTTAGTGACTACCGGCTTTCCAACTTAAAAGATGTTGCTTCCTTCTTCAATCCAATTCCAATACCCATGATTATCAACTCGAAATATCAAACAAAGTTTCAAAGAATAATACCTTCCAATATGACGAGTGATATAAATTTTGCTATTCAAAGAACAATACCTTCCAATATGGGCGGTTACACAAATTTCATTTTCAAAGAACAATACCTTCCAATATCGATAACAAAAGAACTTCTTCCCGAGTTCGATTTTGTTCATGAAATATATATGGTTGTCTTCATCTTGTGCTTGCATAAAGGCATCTTAAAACTTAGGAAAGATATTTATGAAGCTTCATCCATGTTAAAGTTGCTACCTATAGATATTTCGAGTTGCCATATGAATAATTGGTCCGTTTGAGTTTTAGATTTGAATTTTTTTTAGAACAATCATGGGTGAGGATGTTGGACGAGAAAGTGGTTTGGGATTCGAATTTGGGGGATTTGCTTAAAGGTTTGTTTTTCGGGTTTTGGAATTTTGAATTGGGGTTTGGGCTTTCAATTACAAAACACGAGCAATTGCTTCATGACGAGAATGAGAGAATGAGGTTAGAGGGTCTCGGGTTTTGAGGGATGAGAAGAAAGGAAAAGACAAAAGAAGAAGAAGGGAGATGGTGGTCTTTTGGGTTTGTTTGAGATAAAGGAAATGGTGGTCTATGGATTCACTCGATTATGTGAAGAAGATAGATGAAGGAGAAGAAGAAGAAAGATGGTGTGCTATGTAAAATTGAAATGGAAAGTAAATGACATACAAGCTAGGGTTTTTTGAATTTGTGGATTCAATTCTATGAAAAAGGAAAGAGAAGACGAAGGAAGAAGGAGGAAAAATCGTGAGTTCGATTATGAGAAGACGAAGGTAGACGAAAGGGGAGGAAAGGAGGATTTATGGGTTTGATTATGAGAAGATGAATGCAAACGAAGGAGAAGAAGAAGGAAGATAGACGTGTTGTGCAAAATTGAAATGAAAAACAAAGGTTTATACGGGTTAGGTTAATTTGAATTGGTGATTTTGTCGTAATTGAGGCATATAGGTGATGACATGTCTTTCAAAATTGGTAATTAATTTTTTACGTCATTACTTATGTGGATCCTACGTGTCATATTTAGTCTAGTTATCATATTTCGTCACGTATCATGTCGACTTTGATTGAAATTTAGATCGAAAAAATTTATTTGTATTATAATATTATCGGAGGCTTAGTTGGTGACCTTTCCATTCAAAATTAAAAGAACCGAGCTTTAATCATTAAAAAATATAAAGTTTGTGATTTTCCGAAACATTAAGCCTAAATACAATACAAACTTAATATGTAAATACAATACAAACATTATATGTAAATACAACGCCATACCAATCTCAAGAATCGTATAACTATAAGGATATCTTTTTATATTTCACTCAACCTTAATTAATCCCTCTTGATTTGCCATCATGTGGGTGTTTGATTTGTTGGTTTCTTTAAATATATATATGTATAAACTTTTACTTCGAAAATCCATCTCCTTTTCTCTCTTTTGCAACAATTGCTTAATATTAATAATAGCATTAGATTCCATACTTCTCTTGATAAGTTCATCATTAATTTCTTCTTTCTTTATATGGTGGTGATGGCTGACATGATATCTTTAATACAAACACCATGAAAGATGAAATAAAGTTTGTTTATGCCAAATCAGTAATAGCTCCAAAAGATGATGATGGCAGGATTAACACTATGAGAACAGACAATATAAATACAGAGCTTTGGAGACTACAAATAACTATAATACTCAATAATAATATATAATAATATATATATATATATATATATATATATATTAAATGGGTGCAAAATGTTAAATTGTGCAGATCATCCTGGTCGTTCATTCTAAACCAATAGTTAGCATAAAAGCAGCATGCATCACGATTCAATGTGCAAGAGTACACATTGCACAGCCTCCTAGCTAGTGGAGGAATATTTGGGGATCAAGATTCAAGAGTGTGAGAGAGGGAAAGCGTAAGTCAGACAAATACATTTAAAAAGTGTAATAAAAATTAGCTGGTTTTGGAGAGACGAGCAAAACGAGACTGTAGAAAATACAAGGAAAGAGAGAATTTTCAAAAGAGCCAAAAGTATCATAGAACAGAATTGAGAAGGAGAAGTGACTGCTTGTACATGATAAAGAGAACGAAGGGAGAAGGAAGAGAAGCAACAGAGGAAAAGAAAAATTATCCACCAATTCTGTAACAATATGTATTCTATCCTTGTTTATCAAGTTTGAAAGCGTGCAAAAAGAAAAGGAAAGAAAAAGTAAAAATATATTAGCCGGTGAAACAAGAAGAGAGTAAGTCTTGGTACATTGGTGACAAAATGACTGGGACAGGTGCTCGGTCTTATTGGACTCTCCATCAGTCTCAAACTCCATGCATGTGCTCTGCCTCCCCGTCTTAATTAATTGATTTATTCATCACTTTTTTTCCTAAAAACACAACAAGAGACCAGTCAATATTGATTATCATGTATTATTATTAATTATCAATTACGTACTCTTCATAAAATACTACTACATGTTTTTAAAACATTTTGAGGTAGATTAGATGTAATAGAAAGGAAAAGAGGAGAGGATATAGCATTAGAGAGATTTTCTCATTTATTGCGAGTCAAAAGAGACAGAATCTCGTTTGTTTCTGTCCCTAAGTTTATCCGTTTACTTTGTGTGCGTGTGTTTTTTGTCTTGCTCATTGAATGCACGTGGAAACCCACAGGGTAAAAAAAAAATTTTGCTCTCTTCTCTTCTACTTCTACAGCTCTCAAACAACTTCTTCTTGTGTGTCTACAATTCTTTCTTTTTCTTTTTACTTATTATATACATATATAAATATAATGTGATTTATTTCTCTGTCTTTTGTGTCTCTCTAATCTATATATATTTATAGAGAGAGAGAGAGAGAAGAGAGACTGACATGCATATTAATAATTTCGTGTTGCGTCGATATATGCCCATCATCATCACCATCTTCCAATTTCTTCTCTTGGCCAAATCATCTCTCTTTCTCCTCCTCCTTTGTAAGCATTTCTCTCTCCTCTCCTCTTTCTTTCTTTCTTCTTTGCATGTATTATTTCAGAAGTCTTGTTTTTTCTTTTTTCCTTTCTTTTCATTTTATTTGGAGAAATCTGTATGTGTGCTTGTGTTGCTATACTTTATTGCTGTAATGGGGCATGAGATTTTTTAAATGGTTTTCATGATCTGGGTTTGGTTGATTTTTGTGAGAAATATCTCTGTTTAATGTATCTAATAATGGATTCCTTTTATTTTCCTGGCACCGATCTTTGAATTATAATGATCATGCCATTTATAGCTGGATTGCCATTTTATTTTTGTTATTTTGGACTGAATGTATCAAAGTGATTTTTCTTGCTCGCTGTTGATGTGAGAGAAGTTTGCTGTTTCATGAATTTTGTCTTGGAGGAGTATTGAATTATTCTGTTTTGAGTCAGGGATTATTTTGTAAAACGAAATTTATCTAATTTATTGTCGTCTTCTTGCTTAATTCAATGCCAAATTGCCAATGAATTGTGATCCTTGGTGGCTATTTGATGCTATGGTTCTCTCTCTGTTTTCCTTTACTTGTTCCCACCTTGTTGTTTTTGATTGGTTGGTCTTTTGACCATAAATTTCCTTTCTAGTGTTGCATTTGTTAAATATGTTAATAGTTGAGTTGTTAAACTTGTTGAGTAGGATGGCTCATTCTAGGGTTCATAAAGATAGAGGAGAGTTGAGGATTCATGAGAATTTGGATGAGCTTGGTACTGATTTGGCAGAGTATATTGCTGAATTATCAGAGACGTCGGTGAAGGAGAGGGGTGTCTTTGCCATTGCCGTATCTGGTGGTTCTCTCATTGGCTTGATGGGGTATTTATGCAATTTCATTTTGTGTTTTGGTTTTATGATGTCTGTGTTTTTATTAAATTTCTGGTGGACATCAGGAAACTTTGTGAAGCTCCTTATAACAAGACCGTAGACTGGGCTAAATGGTATATATTTTGGGCGGATGAACGTGTGGTGGCAAAAACTCATGCTGATAGCAATTATAAGCTGGCAAAGGATGGTCTTTTGTCCAAGGTTTGCGCCTTTGCTTGTTTCCTTTATATATATTTTTCCAACTTTCCTTTATCTACATGCGTACTGTGATCCGTTTCCAAAAGACTTTTAAGGGAAGGAAATTTAAGTATTTCAAAATGGCTGCCTTGGTCAAGCATTTGCTACATTTTTAGTTCTTTGCTTTGTTCACCAAATAATCAAGTACACATTCTTCTGTCTTCCTATTAATGGGCACATGCGTCGGTTTTAACATGATGCCATTGTTAGTATAAATTTGCCTCTCAAATCTGGTCTTGATCCCATGCAATGCTTAGGTTTTCCTGTTGTGGGCGGATAATTTGCATTTATAGTTTATGCAAAGTCTATCATGAAACCAGTAAACCCCCGTACATAGTCATCTAGTGATTAGCTGACTCTACACTTCTGGTGTTGTGATATTGAATCGAATAAAGAGTACTATGAGCTTCATGTTTGCATTTTGTGTTGTTGCTTGCATTATTTTCATTTGGCTTTTTTATTTGCTCGTTCAGCATAGGTGCTCAAGTCTATTTCTAATTCTGCTGAAATGTCTGTCTTCTTTTCAAACATTTTTTCAGTTTAATGAATTTTGCAGCTAAAAAAGATGTCTTTGGAAGCAGGCTATATAACTGATGCCAAACGTGTTCTGGATGCTTCTATTGGCCATTTAATGCAGTGTCCACTTTTAATACAAACATCTTAATTAATGGGATAATTTTGACATAGCACTAACCTCTATTGAAGGCAGTTTCTCTGGATTTGCTGTTTCTCTGCTCATTCATTCATGATCTTCTTTTGTTATTGCTTGCCTGTTTTTATACACTTCTGCTCTGTGCAACTCAATATAGCTGAAAACGCCAACAACTTTGGACTTGATTTTTAAAATCGATCATTTTTTCCTTTTTTACTAAGTAGACCAATAATTCTGAGTAATCGTTGACAATTATCTTCCATCGCCACCTCAGCCACTCATCTTTCTTCCTATCTCAATCCACCATCTTAAGCAGCTTCTTTCATCTTGTCTTGAACAGATGTTGTTCAATGCCAGTTGACATGGTAGAAATATTGGAAATTTTACAATGAAGGCGTGATTCAAGGTGTTCCCTTTGTGAACACTCAGGCTTTTCTGGGTTTTACATTCCTTGGTGTGAAGGGTGGTTGTGCAAATTCCCATACTAGTACCAATCTGAAATAAGAGCCGCATGAATATGATTATTAAATAAAAATGTGATCAGAAACTTGAAACGACCGTCTTTATATGGGAGATTGATGTTTGTTTCCATATTGGGTATGCTAACTTTGATGCTGTGTCTTTTCATATGTATTAGACACTTAGTCTCCTTTTCCACTACACGCCATGGATCTTTTTTCCATTGACGTATGATGATGTCCTTTTTAGAAATGTAGCATCCCCCAAACATAGATGAAATAGGAAAAATTAGGCAAATTTCTTTATGTTGCATAAAGTGCTCTTCTTGCTTCTCTGAATGCCTGGGGAATATGCATGCTATAGTTTAATTCTCTGTTTTCCCTTCTGACACAGAAACATGGGCCAATTGCATTTTGAAAAGAAAAGATATGGTTAAATTTTGATTGTCATTGCATCATCAGACCTCTTGAAGGTAACCATTACCAAATGCTGATACGTGAGATCAATCGTTAACCATGAAGATGGGCCACTATATTTTTGGCACAATATTAGCATGTAGAAAATGCAATTGACTTTGGCAATAGCAAAGAAAATAAGAAAGAAAAAGAGCATGGTGAAATGATTATCTTTTAAAGGTAGAAGATTTTCATTGCTTTATTTATTCCTCATCTGAGGCTTGAAGTGGAAAAAACGAAAGATTCAACTAGTTTAATGCTTCTCTTATTTGGTAATATACGACAGTCACTCTACGTTCTTATCTTTATATGCATGTTATGCTAGCAGGTGCCTGTTGTACCCAGTCATGTGAATTCCATCAATGATTCAGTGTCAGCAGAGGAGGCTGCTGATGACTATGAGTTTCATATTCGACAGTTAGTGAAATCACGGACAATTAATGTGTCTGATATTAGTGACTGCCCCAAGTTTGACCTCATCCTTCTTGGAATGGGCCCTGATGGTCATGTTGCCTCGCTATTCCCTAACCACCCTGTGCTTGACGAGAAAGCTGAGTGGGTAACTTTTATTACTGATTCCCCCAAACCCCCACCGGAGAGGATCACATTCACTTTGCCTGTCATCAACTCGGCATCCAATGTGGCCTTGGTCGTGACAGGTGAGAGCAAAGCAGAGGCTGTACACTTGGCAATTGATGATGTAGGATCTGACTGCCTGTCACTGCCTGCACGGTTGGTCCAGCCAACAAAAGGGAAGTTGGTGTGGTTTTTGGACAAGCCGGCTGCCTCAACACTGGAAGGTTCTCAATTTTCTGAGTAGGGTCAAGCTGTTACTGCCGATGTGTATGTTTGTATGTAGTAGACGGATTCAACACATGTGGATCCTTTTCTTTTTCTATTAGTCCCCCCTCTTCTTTTCCCTTTTCTTTGTTTGCTTCGGGTTAAATTCTCCATTTTGGCTTTTTATCCTCTCTTCTTTAGACGAGTTGGAGAAATGTGATTATTGTATGAAGAATAAAGTTGGGGCCTCCGTGCAAAATCTTTTTTTGGTTCTGGTTTCTTTTACGATGGAATATGAAGGTGGGAAAGCTAGCCCATCGGGGATGTTAAAACAGATTCTGTCTTTGCTTTACAGAGATTACGAGTTCCATGACATTATGTAGGACATCCTTTTTTTTGTTTGTCAGAATATAATGAGACTCTGGCATTTAGTCCCAACAGGATGCGTACAAGTGAGCATTGCCAGTAAGTCAAGAGGTTCCCAGTCTACACAGCAATTCTTTGGCACGCTTGGGGCTTAAATCCAAGGAACTGAAACGCTCAAATGGAGCATCATACTGTACTGCTACCTGGCGTTATTATTGCTCTTTTTTCTATTGCTGTCCGATATTGTTCTAGTTCTTTAGAATAAGTTGTTTGAGGAGAAATGTACTGGAGTCTGCAGGTTCAACCGGGCATGCATAGACTTCGAAATTCCAGAGCCTTTAATATCTTGTGAATAACAGAAAAGCAAGTTACTGATGCAGTGCCATTTGCTTGTGCCTTCCTGTTGGACATGATAATTATTAATTACAGCCGTTTAACGGAAGTATTCAGTGGGGGAAAAGTAGATTAAACAGAAACCTAATCTTGCCTTGAACGTGACATCATTTTCCATAGCAATAAAGATTAGCTTCTTCACCTACTCTCAATTATCATAAACTAAATAATGGTGAAAACATCTCTCATTTCTTTCAAGAAAGTGACGGTACTTTTTTCCTCTGGAAGTAACAAGTGATGCTACTAGTGTGTAGGTGGGGTTGCATGTTTCGTATGCTAATTTCTTTATAGGTGGGTCATCCAAAAGTTGTCAATGAATCGAGATCTTTTGCACCGATGGGTAGGATATGTTAAAGCAAACCTTGAATGTGCGGAATCAATCATTTATATCCTGAGTGAGTCTAATCAGACTACGAAATTTATACGTTGGGATTTAAGCAAAGTATTTGCCTATTCCATTCCTCACTACTATCCCCGGAAAGCAAGGATAAGGACATATGAAGCCAAGAAAATGAAGAGAGGATGGTTTGGCAAATAAAAATTTGTGATTATAGATAGCATTCCGTTCAATACAAAAATTGATGCTACATCCAAGAAGCCTTGTACGCATATTCCTTTTCTGTTTTTGAAATTGTGTCATCTGGAACAGGCTTCACTGGACGGCATTCCATTTCTGGGACTGGCATATAGCCTTCCGGATCAGAATCATTCGGCAAAGTGCGGTATTCCGTTTCTGTTAATGACCGTATGCCATTTTCATCAGGCTCCACTTCATCTTCCATCTCTTCCCTAGGAGGAAAGCCACATGTCCGTCCAAGCAGCCACTGATTGATGACTCCACAGTCAATTGCATACTTGCTTGTGCTTTCCAAGTATTCTTTATTGGTAATGAGGTCTGTCTGAACTGATAACATTCTCATCAGACCTGCATGCACAACGTCAAATAGAGCTTAGCAAAAAAGGGGTTTTTGGAAAGAGATTAAGACTATATCTGGCTACCCTAGATATGAAAGGTTTAAAAATTCAATGCCTAAACAGCACTGAACATCTTAATGCATGCTTTCATGATAAACAAAAAAAAAAGTCTCAGTTTGTTTACCCAAATTGTAATTTTAACTGGCAAACTAAGGCATTACCCATTTATGGTCCCATCAAAGTTGAATGGTGGGAGAGTTCTGACCGAACTACTCTACAAAGTACAAACTGATAATCTGGACTCCAAAGTCACTACCGAGCACTTCACCAACTCTAAGAATAAGGTAGTGCAAACCAATTCCCAGGCTTCTCTGCATTTGATCCATAACCCATCATACACTTCGTACTCCCTTAGAGTTAGTCTCTTAAGACCACAAGAATTTTTATTTTTTAACGAGGCACATAATAGCAGTCTTCAGTGGAGCATGGCATCACAAAAATGCAGAGCTCAGCAGCTCTGACTTCTACTTGTATATGCTTAAGAATAAAACCTACTTCCCTGTAATTTAGCGAAAATATCCATGGGCAGAACACTGTACCTGCAACGATGCCATCTCCAGAAGCCGACATATCACTGGTGAAGGGGGTAATAGGGGGATCCTCCATGCCATGCACTGCTCCGTTGTGCTCCCTGGTGTAGTAATGTATCTTTGAAGTGCCATTTGTCACAAACAAAACTTCAAGATTTTCATGCCAAAGTGGTGCAACAACTTCTGGCTCATAATGGACAAACTTAGATCTGGCATTATTTCTGGAGTCGAATTCCTCAGTGGGCTCGATCCCACATAGAAACTCAAGTTCTTGCTTAGTAACTTCAACAATGTCTGCAAGGTTCCATGCTTCTTGTATGAATAGTTTGGTTTCCTCACTTGATCGCCACAGTGGCAATGGAAGGTTTACATCATAGAAAACAACTGCTCCCAACTTCTTCGAAACTTTGATTGCTCGCAATGCAGTTGATCTCATGCTCCGATCAAGCAGGGAATGAGTGTTGAAGTAGAACATCTTTGCCTGAATAAAAGCTCATTAATAATGTGACTAAACCTTGGAGATATATAGCCTGTGAAAGAGATCTCATCAAACAATTCAAGCAGAACAACATGGTCACAGACCTTGAACTGTGGAAAACATAGCAAGAAGCCAGTACTATTTCCGAATTTCATACAATGAAATTCAATTCATCATATTGTTTAAAACATTAATAAAATGCAAGTTCCAAATTATTGAATTCAACTACACTGAGAAATTTCATGCCACAGAATCAGAAGCAAAAGTATGATGATCGGTAACAAATTCCTTTCTTGGAGGTGAGGGAACCAACATGCGTGAGACTCAAACACACAGCAGTGCTTTGTGGTATTTAAATCAGTTCTCATGCAGTTTTCTCTATGCTAAAACGACAAGACCATCTATTAGTACAAAATTACTCTATTAATATACATGATTAAGAAATGGCACTTAAATCTTTCATACCATCTTTCTTGCAAAGTTTAGGTACATTTAGAACCCAAACACATCTATCATTTTCAATGAAATATCACTGTAATTTACTGATTAGCAACAACTTGATATAATTATAAGAGTTGGAGATGTTATTTCTTTCCAACCCATTACCTGCTTCAGCACATCCATATTTAGTTCAGACTTCAATAAAGAATCTTCAGCACAGGGTCTAGAACAAGTCATTCTCAAGCGACCTCTCTTGGCAATCTTCATCTGTGCCAATGCTGTTGCTCTTTTACTATCCATGCGAACTGATCGTGTTTGAACGTTGTTCACATTCATATAGTATAGCATTGCCTGACCAAACTCATCATCTCCAAGTTTTCCCATAAAAGCAACCTTACCACCCAAGCTTGCAAGAGCAATTGCAACACCTCCTGCAGATCCCCCAGGTGCCCTCATAAACTTTTCAGGTTCCCAATAAGCTTCCATCATTCTGTCATGAATTTCATAATTTAAGAGTCTGTTGGCTGGCCTTCCTGTGGGTACAAAAGCATGTTGTGCAGCTCCAAAACAACAAACAAGAGGAGGCCAATCATACGTGTAGGTGATATCCTCTCCGTCAGCTTTATCCAATTCTAGGTCTCCATCACTCTCATCCTCCAAATTTGCAACAAATTCAAACTGCTCCTGATCACTAGTTTCTGATTCACTATCACGAGTCTCTACATCCTCATCCATCTTTCTTGTCCTCCTCCTCCTGACCTTCTCAGTTGCCTCTTCCTCCAAACTAGTAGAAACAGACACATCTGTGGGCAATAAAACCAAGAGTTTTAGCAAATGCTATAAGCATAACATACACTGAATAATAATGGGAGTGCACCTTTTCGCCGTGTCCTCCTTCGAGTCTTCTTGGAATCTTCAGACACAACACTTTCCTCATTATTAGCATCATTAGTCCCCACGAGTTCAGTATTCTCCTCTAGAGTATCAGCAACTTTTTTCTTCCTAGTTCGTTTAGTACCAGTCCTAGTTGTCTTCTTTTTCCAACTACGCCATTTTCACTGGGTTCCTCATCAGGTAAAGCCTCTGAAATTTTCTTCCTAGAGATAGCTGCAAGACCCCATTTATTTTGCAATCTAAAATCCTGAAGCTGGACAAAGTTCAGCCGTTGAAAATTCGGCCAATTCGATTGGCACCTGAACGTTTGAAGATTCAGAATCACTGAGCAAAACAAAAGTTAATAAGAAGCAAACAGAACAAAAATTTGAAAGCCCTTAATAAACCCAGAGAAAACAGCTTTCAAGTAAAATTAAGCATGTTGGAGGCTTATCTTCATATGCAAGGCCAAAACAAACACATCCACTAATTAGCAAGCAAAACCCATTAATTAAAGCGGAGTATAATACATTAAGGCGAAGTTAAAGATTCAGCAGCTAATAATAATCCACATATGGCATTTTAAAGAAAAGAAAAGAAAAGAAAGCCAGTAATTAAAAGACTGAAAGTTCGGACAGAAAGAGAACCTGGGCAATGAAAGGAATTGAGTGAAAGATAGAGAAGTCATTGCATTGAAGAAAAAAGAGAGAGCTTTACTTAAAAGAAGAAGAAGAAGCTCTTGAGCTTGTTGATGGATTGGTGGGTTTTTAGTTTCTATACCCTAAAATGGTGTTGGGGGGTTTAAGAAAATGAGTGTACTTTTTAGTTTTAGGAAAACACAGTGAAAGAACAGTCATAGCGGGAGAGGATAGGGTAAATTTCGTTTTTGTTCTTGTAAATCGATCAAATTCCACTTATACCTTTATTCTTTATACGTTTTCAATTTTACCCTTATGATTTCAACAATGCTATTCCCCATCCATCCCACTTTGTTTGTAACGTTTCTATTTAGGTTTAAGGATGTCCCAAAACGTTTGTTTATTTTTCAAATGAATCACATGAAAACAATGTGATTTTTCAATCTCATCCTCAATCATTAAATTAATTATAATTTTTATTTTTCAAAACATATAAACTTCTGTAGTTTTAAGATATAAATAGTTTAAAAAATTTATATAGGAGACATAACAACAAATATTGTTTCGATAAATTGTTAGAAATCAAATGGTGGATGAACAAAAAAGAAACATTAATGAAGTTAAAGTTTCCTTCCTTTTTTGGGGTTGAATTCATATTAAATTTTACTAAGAATAAAGAAAATCGCAGAACGGCAAAATTAAGGAGGGCATAGACGAACAATCCTGAAAAGAATGGTCAAATTGGTATGAAGAAGCAGCAGGAGGGGCTGCTGGAAACAAGAAGCAAGAACTTGAAAAAAGGGCAGAACGGATGCTGAATGTCAGTCAAGTTGTTTACACAACTCAAACCCTTCTCTAACTGGGCTAAGTGCAGCTATATAAAACAATAAAGCAAACCTCTGTGTTGCAAGGTAGAGTCTTGTAGATCCTCATCCTTCCTTCAACGAAACCACCAGGCCAATACAGCTAACGTTAGAAAACAAAATAGATTTGAAGGGTTGTTCATGTCTCTTTCTCGCCCTCTCTGGATTCCAAGATTTAACACTGAGCAGCCACTCTTTCCGCGTCTCCTTTCAACACTAGGGTACTTGTTTTTTTTTTTTTTTATGTTTTTTTGAATTAACTTTATTAATTAATAGATGCTTTATAACTCCACGGACTGAAGAAGGGACAGAAACTTTGACGTTATTATTATTATTATTTTTTTTTTTGGGAAAGCAGCATCATTATACACCTCTGATATGAACCTTTTCAAGCAGCTGCTGCCCACCAAACGTGGGCTTTATGGTTCCTTGAACCACTTCAGAGGTAAGAATTTTGGTGGATTTAGGTGTTTTTCTTTTCTTTTTTTTTTTTTTATGTTAATTAGACACTTTTTTATATTGAGATAGATCATCAGACACCAACATGAAAGATGCTCTGGCATTTAAATTCATGTACTGAATCTGCTCAATTTGATATCTTTCTTGAAAATTGCTTATGTTATCTGATCAATGTGCTATGTGTGTTACTGCTCCACTTTTGGCTGAAACACTTCTTGGTAACTAAGAATACAAGTTGGTAATGAAGTTAGTGATGTAGATTGCGGCAATTAATAGATAAGACATAAAAATTGTATTTCATTGGGTTTTTCATTACTATGAAGGATTCCCAATTTCACTTCTTTGATACTTGTTTCAATATAATTTGCAGGATCTTCCTTTCGCTTTCTCCATTCATCCCAAGAAACATCTGTGGAACTTCATTCACAAGAGCAGGAAGTAGTGATTGCTTTAGGAAGCAATGTGGGCAACAGACTTCATAATTTTAATGAAGCATTGCAACTGATGAAGAAATCTGGAATAAACATTACTAGACATGCTTGTTTGTATGAGACAGCGCCTGCCTATGTAACTGATCAGCCTCAGTTCCTTAACTCTGCAGTAAGAGCTGTTACGAAACTTGGACCACATGAATTGTTGGGAGTGCTTAAGAAAATTGAGATGGACATGGGTCGTACTGTGGGGATAAGGTATGGACCAAGACCAATTGATTTGGATATATTGTTCTATGGAAAGTTCAAGGTTAATTCTGATATACTTACTGTTCCTCATGAGAGAATTTGGGAGAGACCATTTGTAATGGCCCCATTGATGGATTTACTGGGATTAGATGTAGAGAATGATACAGTTGCATGCTGGCATTCTTTGTCAATACGTTCTGGTGGACTCTTTGAGTCATGGGAGAAACTGGGTGGTGAATATCTAATTGGAAAGGACAGGATGAAAAGAGTCCTGCCCATTGGAAATGATTTGTGGGATTGGTCACTGAAAACTTCTGTGATGGGTATACTTAATTTGACCCCAGATAGTTTTAGCGATGGAGGAAAGTTTCAGTCTGTGGAGGCTGCAGTTTCTCAGGTCCGCTTGATGATTTTGGAAGGAGCGGACATGATTGATTTAGGTGCACAATCAACAAGGCCAATGGCTTCAAGAATATCCCCTCAGGAGGAATTAGATAGACTAATCCCTGTCTTAGAAGCCATTCTAAAGATGCCTGAGATGAATGGAAAACTCATATCTGTTGATACATTTTACTCAGAAGTTGCTTCAGAAGCAGTCAGCAAGGGGGCTCATATAGTAAATGATGTATCTGGTGGACAGTTAGACCCTAACATGACTAAGGTCGTTGCTGGCCTTGAGGTTCCTTATGTTGCAATGCACATGAGAGGAGACCCAACTACAATGCAGAATAGTGAGAACCTGCAATATGATGATGTTTGTAAGCAGGTCGCCTCTGAGTTGTATTCACGGTTTGCAGATGCAGAATTATCTGGTATACCTGCTTGGAGGATTATTATTGATCCTGGGCTTGGATTCTCAAAGAAAACTGAGCATAATTTGGACCTTCTCATGCGTTTGCCAACCATGCGAGCAGAGATTGCAAGGAAAAGCTTGGCCATGTCTCATGCTCCTGTCTTGTTAGGATCTTCCAGAAAGAAATTTTTAGGTGAAATTTGCACTCGTCCTGCCGCAAGTGAGAGAGATCCCGCAACGGTAGCTTCAGTCACTGCAGGGGTTTTGGGAGGTGCAAACATTGTAAGAGTACATAATGTTAGAGATAATCTAGATGCTGTTAAGCTCTGTGATGCAATGCTGAAGTACAAGAGATCTCCAGCATAATCCTGCAAAATTGGAATACTTTTTGTTATGGCTCTTGGACAAAAGTTTACCGGATTATTATTATTGTTGTCCAAAACTTTTACTCTCTGCATCACTCGTATGAGGAAACCATAAGACTTCGGTTTGATGCTGAAGTACAAGATCCCCCGTACAAGTTGATTAAGCCTTTAAGTTGTTTCATTCTTTCTTCTAGAGAACATGGCCCGTCATTTTCACCAGCAGACCTGTTGCCTCAAGAGATCAGTCAGGCTACCATGCCAAAGCAGAAGTAGTTACAGAATTTCTGTAATGGACATTTGGTAGTCAAAATTTTCTTATTTATTCTTGTGAAGTGGCATCCTTCCAACTTAAGTGTTTCCCTTTCGTTTTCCTCAACTTTGCGTAGTCAAACTTCCACCAAAAAATTGTCATGAACCACATCGATTCTTGTTTTCTAAGCCTATAGTGAAGATTCAACTATCTTCTCATTACCAAATTACAAGGCTTGTGAACTTGGCAGCTAACTTTAAGCACGAGTAACAAGCACACTGTAACGAACTAATGGCGTCGGAGTTGATGTGGATGGACTTGTCCAGTTGATAATTGAGAACTACTTGTCCTTTCTGAATCCTGACCGGTAGTGATACCTTCCACCTGAACCCACACAGTTTTGCCCAACTAGAAAACCAACCTATCACTTGTTCTTATAATCAACGGTTTACCATACAAAATAACACATTTCAAAACAAAAATTTGTGACTGATTGACTTATTCCTATACTGGGTTCGAATTTAGGGTTGTCCACCTGGGCAAGTCATTATTAAATCAGATCACCATGGCTATGAGCCAATGGAAAGCAGAATAATAAACCGAGGGGCATGGAAGGCAAATGCTCAACTATATGAATGTTAGTATCCATCGCACCCACAAAGCTCTTGTGAGAAGTTACATAGATGTATCAAAGGGAGTACAGAAAACCATTTCATGACAATTTAGATACTTCGTTTGACAAAAACCCATTTTGTTGTCTAAGAATTATTCTGTTTCAAGACTTCTGCTTCAGCCCTCGCCATTGGATCATCCTTGACATGCGCTTCATCTTCCTTCTCTCCTTCTCGCTCCTCCGCCATTTTCTTTCTGTGCAACTCCTCTGCAGCTTGCATTGCAGCCTTGTTCTCTGCCTGCATACGCTGCATTTCCTCCTCTTGCTGCTGCCTCTCGAACCATGTGTCCGCATCAGCCCAAACTGAAGAATTCGAGACAAAGTCAATCCCATCAACATAAGATCAAACTTGGAACTTTGAAATCCCAAAAAACAATTTAAAATAATAAAATTTCAAAATGAGAACTACAAATCCCAAGTTAAAATCAGTTAGGTAGCCCTACAGCGCTAGAACACCATTAATTTCAAGTATTCATCCCAAAGGAAAGCCATGGCACGTTCATTATTTTCAAATCAAAAAGTTCTTCTTTTCACTGGGAATATAATTATTTTGAGAGTCCAATTTTTCTTTTCTTTTTCTGGTTGTTGTTGCAATATGTCCTTTCCTACCTCAAATTAAAAACCTAAAAACTGAAGCCAATTACACCAACCAGCACTAACATAATGTAGCAAGCTAGGGCATGCAATTAACACTTAGAGTTAATAAAAACCCAACACATCATTATAAAAAAATTATACGGATCAGATTCAGGCTAACTCAATCAAAATCACCACATATTGCATCCCTCTACATCTACAAAGCACATTATTGTTCGTTAACGACCTAACGTGTATTTACACTTATTGCCACTTAAAAATACAAAATTTCCAATAGCCCCCAAAACCCTAAACCTCAAGACGCAAGACAAGGCAATTGTTCTTAAATCCATGGCTCATCACAAATTCAAGAAATAGGGTTTAAAACCAACCAAAAAGAAAGAATTAAAGAGATTGAGTACTTACTTGGTTGGGCAGCCCAGCCCTGTTCACCACCCTTAATCTTCTCAGGCAAGGCGTAATTAACGGTGAGGACACGGCCATAGAGTTCGGCGCCATCCATATTGTCCATGGCAGCAGCGGCGTCCTCTCTTTCGAGGAAAGTAACGAAGCCAAAAGAGCGGTGTTTCTGTGTGGCTTGATCTAAAGGGGTTTTGACATCTTTAATGTCACCAAAAGGAATGAAAGCGGCGTGAAGTATTGCTTCGTTTACTTCCTCAGCTAATCCTCCTACGTATAGCGTGTTCTTTTGAACTTGCTGCTGTGCCGCCATATTATTTCTTTTCTATCAATCAATCAAAATTCCTGCACTAGCTGCTCTTCTTCTTCTAGCTTATGCAGCTATGGCCATAGTATTATTTTTGACAAAAGGATCTGGATTTTAGACGTTTAACCCACTTGGGCCCTAAGGCTTGAGTATTGTAAGAACCTTGGGCTTATTTGTATTTAACGTCGGGCCTGGTGTGATACGATGACCGACTGCTTAGGCCTTAGGGCTATAAGGTATTTCGATCAAAGAGATATTATTATGGCAGAAGTTTGAGACGCTTTGAGATTTCTGCTACAAATTAGATCATAGAGCCAATATAAGCTTGTTCCTTGAGAATGTTCCTCAGCATGTTGAATATAATTCGGTGTTGCAAGATCAGATGATGTAGATGATAATATATATATATATATATATATTTTTTTAAGGAATAGGGATGGTACAAACCAGTCTGGTCCAACAAACTGGGAGGAGAAGGAAGCCTAAACCCTTAAAAAGTTTCCAAGAAAGTTCCTGAAAACCACAATAGCCAATCTATTACATAGCATGCCTAGGCACTACAAAATTAAATACAAATGTTTACAAACTGCCTATTAGATGGTAGGACTCACTGTCTGACCAAGAGACGACTCAAGGGCTAGCCCTCACAAGATCTCAAGTAGCCCGAAAAGTGAACAAACCAGACCTATCCTCCATATAAACCTGCTTGCAATCCATGGGAAGATTAGCTGTCGTCAAGGTGAGTTTGTGGGATGCATGTTGGAAGGCCCAGTTAGCTAGCCTATCCGCCACCTTGTTTCCCTCTCTGAACACATGTTGAAGCTTTGTCCCTGGAGTCAGATTTGCTAGACACTCCCTGTACTTATATGTTAGCTGCCAAGGATAAGTATTAGAGCCGGTAAAACCCCCAAGAGTGAGAGAAGAATCTGATTCGATAATATTTAGATTTAGATTATACTGCTTGCAGAGTTTAATCCCCTCCAGTGCAGCTAAAACCTCCCCCATGTTGTTAGAGCCCGGACCGTATAAGCTGGAAAACGCCATGATTAGATTACCTTGCTCATCTCTAAGGATGCCTCCTCCACTGCACGCATTATCTCTGGAAGAACCATCGGTGTTGATTTTGAGAGAGCCAACTGGGGGCAAGCTCCATCTAACCCATCTGCGGCAAGAATACAATAAGCAATCCTCGGTCCGCAAGAATACAAGCTGCAATTTATCCAGTTTAAGACATTGCTCTTCACCCCAAAACTCTTTCAAATGATCTCTCCTGTGAAGGCGATGCTTTTGCTGGTTGGTGCAATCCTCGGTTGGCTATGGTGGATTCCCTTCTCCAGCGAGAAAATGTCCACTCCTATACAAGTTTCAATTGCATTTCAATTTCCGCAACATACTGTTTGAGTTGTCACATAGCGAACTGTGGGAATTATATCATTGCGACTCACCAAAATGAGCCCAACAAGAACGTGAATAACAATATTAACGATCTAATTAACCTTTATCAAACCAAAAGGTATGTTGATGTTCATCTATTGTGCAAGGCAATAAAGGATGGCCATCAAGCACAAAATCTAACCTTGGCGGGCAACCAGGTCTTCACAACAAGTAATAAAGCATCATGTAATTAAATGTTAGAAAAAAAAATTATTCATCACAGTTTCTTTCAAAAATGTAATGCGTGTATTACAACAAATGTTATGCTTGTATTACAACAGGGCACTTCCCAATCATGCTTCAATATGAAAATCAAGTGTAGTTTCCCGGTCTTTCAATTTTTTACCGATGCTGTTCCCAATCATAATCCCCCTATAGTTATTCAAAATTTGAGGCGACATTCGTTCCCTGCAGCCAGGATAAAAAACGCTGAGCTCCTCTACTTCTTGCGCAAGTACAAGAAGCTAACCACCACTGAGACACCAACAACAGCTACAGGAACTGCCCAATATTGCTTTGTGAAATCCTTGAGCTTCTGAGTATAATCTGCTTGTTTCTTGGAGATTTCAAGTTCCGGGATGACTGTGTCAGACGGGTCAAGCTCACCAATGAGAAAGGTTTCTAACAGCTCTCTGGCATCGTTGCTATGCCCAGCATCTTCAAATTCATCTGTTGCATCTTTGCCTTCAATAACATTGTACAGTGTCAGACAATAATTGATATCAATAATGCTGCATCATTATATACTTCTCAATTAAATTTTTTACAAAACAGTTCCAAGTTCATTGATGAAAATGCAAGTAAATACCAGTAGTAGCAAGGATAACATCATCTCCGCCAGGGTGCTCATCCAAATATGAACCCACATCATACACCTGGTATACAATAAAAAAAAAAGAAAAAAGGCAAACATTATGGAAGAGGAGAGACAGTCAAGAGTTCATGTCTTCTTCTGGTACGAATGACTTCAATAAATGCATTAAGATCATCACTTCTTATCTTTAAGAAGTCAGAAATCATGATGACATTTCTTGATTCGGTAACACATAATAGAATTTCAAATCAAAGAAAATCGAACTAACATGTGATTCAAAAGCAAAACAAAATAGGAAGGCATGATTCAAAAGTAAATAAGATTGTCTATAGATGATAGATTTAGAACACGCAAACCATCTGTGCAATAGAAACATCAATGGTTACTCTGCATGCACACAACTTCATTGCATGCCAGCTACACAGTTGAAACAATTAAATCATGATGGTAAATCACCAAATATGGAGCACCTTTTACATGCCCCAAATTAGATGGTAAAGTGGAGACTCATGATATAGGCAGAGCAAACTGGCAGCAGAGAGAAAACATATACAAGCTGGTGTAATCAATAGTAGCCAAGAAAGCATTTGCATACAACTGATGCAAAGCATCATTTGGTCAAATTACAACTGTTCGTGCAATTTTTTAAAAAATCTAAGCCCCTAACTTAATGTTTGTTGTCATTATCATTGTCATGACATCATCAAATCCCACATAAAAATGTAGTGACATGACTGCACAACAAAATATCTGCATGCAACTTCAAACTAAAATTTCCTCTTCGGCTCAAACCCAGAGTCAATAAAGACCCAGCCCACCCATGAGTTAGCCCAAATTTGACACATAGCAAACATCAAATTGGCATGCGAGGAACCGATAACAAAGCATTTAACAGGGACCATATATGCTACATATAAGTAAATTTAAGGTACATAACAGATGCTATGCACATAGCAAAGATTATTTAGCCCAAATGAGAGCATCTAATCATCTAGATAGCCTATTCAAGCAACCAGACCAACAATTTCAAATCATCCAAGGAGCCTTTATTAGCACAGAGACATAACAGTAACTAGTTATATAACTCAGCTGGTGAAGTTTAAAGAAATCTCAACTTCTCACTTACATCAAAATGGATCATGAAGTTAGATGATAATAAGTTCTCGTAGACAACAAAAAATCAAGACTCTTAATTATGTAACAGGATACTTGGTCATGAGTCTATCATCTAGGAGGCAAATAAGCAAGTAAGGTCTAACAAATTTGCAACAAATAAAAGTGCTTTGTATTTGTTGTTGTTTAGGTGGCACCGTGGTGGTAGTAGATATAGGGAGGTTCGTTAGTGCACACAAACAGAGCATTTCTTGTCTACTCATTTTTAAATTGCATACTGCAACTAAATTGGGCAGCCCCATCTAATGTTTGAAAGCATGCCAGCGACAGATGTTTCCAATCCAACCTTTACTAAGAAAACATGTAAAGTTTAGTTCAAGTCAATGGCGGAAGTTTCAATTAGTTTAAACGGACCAAACCTTCCAAACAAAAGCGAAGATAGGGCCCTCAACATAAAGATGTAGGAATTCCGTTTTGGCCTCCTCCTTCCACAAATATAGTAAATGTGAAAAAAAATAAATAAATAAATAAAGCTGAATGTAGCAACTAGTCAATTACTATACAAGATCCATTTCCCATTAGGGACAATTGTGAGAAAGGCGTGTGCATTCAAACATTCTAAACCTCGTGGAAACACTTCAAACTCCAGCACAATGTGATATTTCACAACAACATTAACAAAGACCTAAATCTTCTAACGAACTTATTATATGCTCATCTAAATACTTACCCACTCCTTAAAGATTGAAATCGTATCCCAAAACAATAGCGGTAGCAAATACAAATCACATGTAATAAATAATAATACTAAAAAAAATGCTACTACCTACCTTGCCATCAATAACGACCCAGCAATCTTGAGGAGTGTTGTGTTGGGCTGCCTCTTGCATTTTGTACAGCTTCGACAGGGTCGGCATCCTATTTCTACTCTTGTTATTCTATAGTTGACGCTCTTTCTCTCTCTCGGAAACTTATAATTATTTTTCTTTCCCAAGAAGGCTGAGACGAATAGTTATTTGAGTATCAAACTTCTTGTTGAATTCTATCGTTAGCTAGGAGTTAGTACAAGTGTGCGAGAATTTTATAATCATCAATCGTACTACTCGTACATATACAGACAGAGAGGAGAGGAGAGGAGAGGAGAGGAGACAACACCAACCCTAACCGCCAACCACAGTCCACAACGCAACCCAACTAGCGTGAAGGAGGAGGAATGACGTTTGCTGGTCCTCTCTCTCAATGGGCCTGATTCAAGTGTCCATGATGGCTCAATGGGCCCTTTGAGGCCAGACAATAACCTAATAGCCTTAAGTTTTATAGTATTGATTGGGTATCACAAATAAAAAATTCCAAATGAAAATTAGAAAATTAAAATAGCATTATATTTTTATATTATATTTAAAACACTAATAACGATTCAAAGTAAAATTTAAATTTTTTAATATTTTATTTTTAATAAGAATAAAAATAAATATTAAAAAATAATTTTATCAATTATATTAATAGAAAAAATAATAAATGTGATTGTGATAATAGTTGTAATGATGGTGAAATAGAAGGAGGATGAATATCATGTGATAGTAATAACAGTATAGTAATAACAAAAATACATATTTTAAAAAACTTCTACAATTATCATAAAATGTGACGAGTGAAAGAAGGGTGATGATAATGATGATGGTAATAGTAGTAAAAAAATAATGATAAAATAATAATAATAATTTATTTTTTTAATCAATGTCGTCAATAAAGATGATGGTGGTGGTGTTGTAGTGGTAGTGTAGTTAATACACAATAAATAAAAATTATATATCATTATTTTGAAGAAAAAATTATTTACATTTCTTATTTTTACTCGTCATCTCCCACATGAAAATAAAGATGTGTGTAATTTTTATTTGCATTCTCACTTTATTTTTTTAACCAAAAAGCTGCATATGGAAATAAAACTTCTATTTCTACCATTTTATTTCTAATAACCAAACAACACTTAAGAGTTTTTAATTGGATGAACGACAATTTTAGGCATATGTCGAAACTCTCTTTTACTTTGGATAATATAAAATAAAATTTTCTAAATAAAAAATTATTTTCATCATTTGTCTTTTCCATACTATGATGTTTTTTTTTTTTTAACAATTCTATAAATTTGAACGCCTCCCTCCCTCTCTCTCTCTCTCTCTCTCTCTCTCTCTCTTTATGTGTGTGTTATTCTTATTTTATTTTTTTTAACCAAAAAGCTATAAGTGGAAATAAAACTTCTATTCTTACCACTTTATTTTTGATAATTGTTAGCACCCATTTTTACTCCAAAAAAAAAAAAAAAAAAAAAGAAAGGGAAAGGGATTGAAAAATAAAATTGAGGGATGTAATGGAAAAAAAGAAAATAACCAAAATAAAACAAGCTTGCAGGACGAGGGACCAAACTAAACTTCAGCCAAAAATCCTAAAATTTTTTCGTATAATTACCCACTTTCTCTCTCTAAAATAGAAATTCTAGCCAACACAGTCTCCCTCTCAAAAAATTTCGATTAGCCATTCTTTACAGTTTGAAATTTGGTCAGCCGACTGTTCGTAGCTCCTCATTGCCATTCAATGCTGCACGCAGCCCCTTTCCACTGTTTGCAGCAACGACTGCGATCATTTGCTCCACCCAAAGTTGCAGTAGCCCAACGACAACCACCAGTCGATCTCCCCTTATCATCGACGATCCTACTGCCAACAACCGACAATCCCATTGCCAACAGCAGCCACGCCCATCGATCATGCCATAGCTATTCCAACCATGCCAAACTCCGTCTAACCACTTGATCCATGCCTACAGCTATTCGTCCACTCCAGCAGCTATGCCAGACTCCAACAGCCTTCGATCCAACGTCGTCGTCCAGTAGCTCCTCTCTCCAGCCCTATCTAGCCGCTCCTACACCGACCAACAACTGCAATAACCCTTAGCTTCCACAGCAGTTGCAATAGTCGCTGCCAGCAACCCTCTTTCTTTTCTAATAGCCCGATCGCACCAATCCAATAGTGTCCACAGTAGCAGTAGCCAGTCTACGCCGTCTAGTAGCTCCACCACTGCCAGCGACCACAACTGTCTGATCCAATCACCAACAACCACCTCACCTAACACCGAATCCAAATTTGATAACGGGCAACCGTCCCTCTTCTCCTGTTGACTGAATATTCAGTTTCTATGGAGGTTGAAAAGGTCAAAACTTACTTTAATTTGACAACCAAAATTCCTTTAGTCTTTTCATAATTTTTAGCAAGTAATTTATTTTTCTCATTTTAATGTAATCTGTATTAAATTTAATTCATACTGGTGTGATTGTAAATTAATTAAATTATTGTTGTGTGATTGTTTGACTAATGTGTTTAAGATATACATAATTGTATCGAGCTTGTGAAAAAAAAGGTCAAGATCTCGGGAAACATCGAGGCAGAATAGAAGATTGATTACCCTGTGATTTTTTTTTTTTTTTGCTTGGGTGATTGCATTGTGCTGGTCCGAGCTTTTTTAGGATTATTTTTGCTAATGGTAACATTAAATCGCTCATGTGACAATTTTATCAAAAAAAATAATAATAATTTTGAGTCGTGCGAGTCCAAATTTTATTTTGTTTTGGAGAACTTTTTGTCAATTGCAATGATTAATGTTGATATTGTGCCAATTTTGCCTAAAAATGTGATCCTTAGTCACGTCAACTCGAACCTCATTTTTTTTTTACCATTTTTGCCAACTGTGATGATTAATTTTTTGCTATCATCTATTTATCCAAAAAAAAAAAAAAAAAACATGTCATTTGAGTTGTATTGGTCTGAGTTGCAATTTGGAATATTTTTGCAAATTTTGCTTAAAACGTTTTTCTTGAAAAATCATGACTTTAAAGTCATGTCGATCTACATCTTGGTTTGGATCGTCATGCCAATTTTACTCATCAAATTTACTTGCTATGAATTTGAAAATCACGATATTTGAAGTCATGTTGATTTGAATCTTGTTTTCGGATCGTTTTTTTCAATTTAAATGATTTTATCGATTTTCCCTAAAAAATACAACACTTGAAATCATGTCAATTTAAACTTTGTTTTCGGATCATTTTTGCCAATTTCAATGATTTTGTTGATTTTTATTGAAAAATCATGACACTTGAAGTTGTGTCGATTTGAACCCTGTTTTCGGATCATTTTTGCAAATTTTAATGGTTTTTGTCGATTTGCCTAAAATTTAAAATTTGAAGTTATGTCGGTCTAATTCTTGTTTTCAAAATATTCTTTGCCAATTTTGTCGTTCTTATCATTTTTATCTCTCTTGTCATTTTTGTTATTTTTTTTTTATCATTTTTGCCTATTTTTACTATCTTGCTTATTTGTCTATTTTACCTATTGTGCCTATCTTCCTATTTTGCATATTTGCCTATTTTACCTATTTTTGTCTATTTGTCTATTTTTAATTCTTACTTTCATACATGCACATGCCATTTAGGTCGCACTAGCCACCTATTTTTAGCACTCATCATGTTCTTTTCATTTCAGAATGAGGACGAGGTCCTTGATCAAATCACCCGTCCGATAGGCAAATATTTGGAAAATAGGTATATATTTTCATCATAAAAAAACAGAAATCAAGTCAGCTTTGTATGCAATGCAGTTTGCTTTCGACAGAATAGGGTAGGATGTTTTTAATCTTTCCTAAATGTAATAAACCCTTACCTAAAACTCTAAATAGATGAGTCATATGATTTTTTAGTAACCATGATACTAAATGATAACTCCATTTATGTTTTCTCATTTCCCTTTTTTGAAGCCGTCGCTCTTGCACTAAGGTCGCCCTGCTACAATAATCAAACATTACTTAAGGATTTTTAATTGGATGAACGAAACTTTTAGGCATATGTTGGAACTCTCTTTTACTTTGGATAATATAAAATAAAATTTTCTAAACAAAAATTCATTTTCATCATTTGTCTCTTCCATACTATTATGTAGTATTGATGGATAAAGAAACTTCTCCAATTTAATTGACAACGGACAACAGAGAGAGAGAAGCGTTGGAATTTATAGAATTGTTCAACAAAAAACATAGTGACATGGATTCCTATGCTATTTCTTCTCTCAGTTCTCTTCGGATCAGCTGGTCTTATTCTAGTGAGAAATTCATTTTGATAGCGAGCTGAATTGAGGAAGTTCTGGTGTGTGATATTGATGATGATGATGATGATTTAACAATTATCCAGTTTCATTATCTTAGCCACATTTCCCCAATCTATCTATACTAACTATATCTTAGCATGATGGATTCCTTGAAACGTTCCATTTATGGTAACTTGGTAATACCTGTACCAAACGCAACCAGATCACATTGTGCTGTTGAATTTCCATATCTCACAATTAAATGACTCATTTCTTTTAGCTAATCTTTGCTCAATCCAAACTGTTACACACCTACCATTATGCTATTTTTGGGGCACAAATTATGTAACGCTTATCACTCTTTCTTACATCCAACTATAGGACTGACAGGGGAGTCTAATAGGCTGCTTAAGTGCATAATGATATATGTCAGAATTTATTGTTTTTCTGTTTTTTCAGTACGCTCATGAAAGGAATTTTCCCTCGAATGCTAAAAGACACCACTATTTACATATGCATTTACTACGTTTAATTTCACCATGCTATATAACTCACTCAAAACTGAAAACGTCTTCTATGATTCTCATCAATGGCTTGTCTTAGAAATATGGCATTCACCATAGTATCAGTTTTTATAGGTGTCACTGCCACTGCCTTGGCTTGCACTCAAGGAGCGTCCAAGGTTTTGATGAATGGCTGCCTTTTTTAAGGCTCATGATTTTGGTTTCTACAAGTTTGGTGTTTGAATTTAATTTTATGAGTGGCTGTTGTTGCAGCTCCATGATCAATGCTCTTCTGATGAAGATTGCGCTGCTGGCCTTCATTGTTCATCCTGTTCTCTAGATTTTGAGGGTTCAAGATGTGTCAGAGCAGATGCAACCAACCAATTCAAGCTTATGGTAATAATAAATTTCTGTGTCGTTTCTCATTTTGAACACTCATTTGCATGTTAAGAGGAAAAAAGTTTGTCCCAATTAATCAATGTCTTTTATTTGCTGACGAAACAAATATTTCATGGATTTGAAACAGAACAATTCTCTGCCTTTCAACAAATATGCATTTTTGACGACTCATAATTCTTTTGCCATCAAAGGAGAACCATCCCATACAGGAATCCCTCGGCTTACCTTCACAAATCAAGAAGACAGTGTAACGGAACAGCTAAATGTAAGTCAAGTCTTGAAATTGTCACTCTTGTTTATGACCGTTTTTTAACAATATGCTTTTATGAAGTTTCAGCTTTTTATTGGTTCTAAATCTCAATGCAGCATGGAGTTCGAGCCTTAATGTTGGACACTTATGATTTTGATGGAGATGTGTGGTTGTGTCATTCATTCAAGGGCAAATGCCATGACTATACAGCATTTGTGGGTGATCCTATTCCTCTCTATTAACTCCAACTGCAACAATTACAGTGCATTTGATTAAGATTTTTAATTTTCAGGAAAAATGATGTTAATCTCTTATCAGAAACCATGTAAACACCAAATGGTTCTTATGTGAGGATAAACATTTGACAGTATAATGCTTGGCATATTTTATAGGAACCTGCTCTAGATACTTTCAAGGAAATAGAGGCATTCCTGTCAGCAAATCCATCAGAAATTGTGACATTAATCCTAGAAGACTATGTTCAGGCCCCATATGGATTAACAAGAGTTTTCAATAAGTCGGGTTTGATGAAGTATTGGTTTCCAGTGTCAAAAATGCCTCAAAATGGTCAAGATTGGCCTCTGGTAAAGGACATGGTTGCCAGCAATCGAAGGCTTATTGTTTTCACTTCAATCAGGTCCAAACAACAGACTGAGGGAATAGCTTACCAATGGAATTACATGGTCGAAAATGAATGTAAGCAGCCAAATGTTTTCTTTCGTTTATTAGTTATTGTCTAAAAGGATTGTACATGAAATTGTTTGTGTAATTTCTGAAAAGAATTATTTTAATTGTTCAAATACTCCTTTCAGATGGGAATGATGGAATGAAGGGAAATTGTATTAACAGGGCTGAATCAGCATCACTCGATGACAAAACTAAATCTTTAGTTCTAGTAAATCGCTTTGGAACAGTTCCAGTGAAGGCGGTCGCATGTGAAGAGAATTCTGTGGGCCTGATCGATATGCTCCAAACTTGTTACGCTGCTGCTGGCAACCGATGGGCTAACTTTGTTGCTGTTGATTATTACAAGGTATAAACAAAAGATGCACTGTGTCCTTCAAACTATTTTGCCTCAGGTTATAATTTTGGTTTTCCTGTGAATTTTAACTCCAACAATGATCATCATTACCATTGCTTGTGATGGTGACGCAGAGGAGCGATGGGGGAGGAGTATTTCAAGCCGTGGACACACTGAATGGGGAGCTTTTATGTGGCTGCAACGATGTACATTCTTGTGTGGTAAGATTTGCTGTTCGTAGTTCACTGACTTTTGCTGAGTTAATTATTAATTAAACCCTCTAATTTTAAAAAATAAATTAATTAATTTCTCTTGTTTTCAAAATTAATTATTAAATCCTTATGTTTTTAAATTTTTTGTAACTTTATCGTTTTCGCTCTTTTTCAATTTATTTTAAGAAAAAAAAATAATAAGTAAAAAATATAGAAAGATTAAAAAATTAAAAAAAAAAACTAAAGTATAAATAGGTTTTAAAATATAGAGAATAAATAATTAATTTTTAAAACGAAAAGAATTAATTAATTTTTTCCTCGAAATAAGAGGGACTAATTTATAATTTACTCTTTTATTTCATTTGTATCTAAAACAAATAATCTATTCACCCCCTTTTTTCTTTTCTTTTTTTCCCCTTGCAGCCTGGATCGTCGGGAACGTGTAATTGGAGAGGACAGAGAAAAGGGCTTATATAATTAAACCTCTTAGAAAGTGGAATGAGTGGTTGAAGTAGTTACTGCATAAGTAGATTGTAGGATTCTGGCATGCAAGTGTAAAAGTTCTGATATTTTGGCATGAAATGGAATTTCAATTTTGCGCTACGTCTACTACAAACAATTTTTAATTTTTAAATATATTAATGTAAATATACATTCTATCATATATTTTATCAAGCTTTTTTTTTCCTTACATCTGCTTTAAGGACCATCCTGTTTTGTAGGATGCGTTTGTCAAACTATGCCTTTGTTTTTTGAGTTTACATTGAGGGAGAAAATTTCGACAAATTTTATAATATATCGAGAGTAACTAGTGATATGTATAGTAGTTATTCTATGAATTCATTTTGAGGAGAGAGATAAACACATAAAAAATATATATAAATTATATCTATATCCGTCAAAAGTGTTAAGAAGAATTTCACGTCCGTTCAAATTTTTTTATTTTCTCTCATGTTTTTCTCTCTTTTTTTGTATGTCTATCTTTTTTTCAAAATGAGCCTATGAAATAACTATTGTACATATCATTAATTACTCCTAATGTATTATAAAATTTCTCGAAAATTTGTCTCTTGGCCGACTTTCCAAGTTCACGAGTGACCACAATTTCAAACTAGAATTTTGCACCAAAGACTAAGAGATGGGGGCTCTACGTATGGCAGAGTACTTTTCATGTATAGTATGCGCTCTGCAGCCTCATTTCAATTGTGAAGTTACAAAGTCTTAACAATTAATTTTGTTTGGAGAGGCCTGTATTGCGGGGGAGATGTATAAGATTCTGCATTCACAATCGCATTTGAATTTTGCATACCAAGGGTCTATTCACACATTTTATGTACGCCATTTTTAATCCAATAGTTTAAATTAGAATTTTACCCATATTTGAATCCTCTATTTTTCGAATTGCTTTGATTCAAATCATGCTTCTTCTTCTTCTTCTTCTTTTTATTGAAATTCTCTACTTTTTATTTTGTCTTGCTTGAGACTTGTGAACTTACGTGACTATGACGCAGGTGTTTACTTTTAAATGCATGCCACATGCCATATACGAGACTTCAATTGAAATACTTAACATGTAAGGATTTGATTGTGTAAATATTAGAAAGTAGGGACCAAATTGGTTTTTAAAAAAACTTTGAGGATAAAAAATTATAAATAAAAGATTAAATTGTAAAAACAATATTATTTTAAGGACAGTCAGCTAATATCTGCACACGTCGATCCATTGTTAATGACACTGCCATAATTGACTATTAATTTCTTGGAGGAAGAAACTCATGCAAATCAACTCAGTAGAAAATGGAACTTGGAAAAAAAACTTAACAACTGGAAGGAGAAAGAAATTTCACCTGTCTTCAAGATTAGGTAATTTACTATTGCATTTCCTCAACTTTTTCAGTATCATGGCTGAAGATTATGAAAAATGAATTATTTGCATTGAGCCTTGTTTTAATTGGAGTATGCTGATGTGTGACCACATGATTTTTATTTCTAATACAGCTTTTTTTCCTTTTCTATTTTTTATTTTCTATATTTTTATCTCTAGGAACTTTGAAAATGATTACCTCTTAAATTTTCAAAATATTTGATTTAATGAACCATTAATTTCTATGGATGAAAATGACGAAAAAGAGGAAGAAGAGATGAGTAAATAATTCACTAAAACGGTAGAGCACTCTGCGCGATCGTATTGCCAAATCAAGAAAAATTGACGAATATAAATGTCAGCATTGAAAAGAACAAGAAAGAGCTGAAAATGAAGACCTTGATTTCAACATAACAAAAGGAAAAGATTGCCGCAGTGATGAAAGAATATTTAGATGAATTTGTATGGTTTTATCATATAATAATATAAATCATATCTTAAGATCTTATCTAACAGTTTAAGTTTTTGAATGAGATGATCTTTTGACATGGTATTAGAGCCTTCATAACCAAACGATCGCGAGTTCTAAGCGGATATGTCAAATTTAGACCTAAAGATTGTAGTATAATTTTTCCATATAGAAAATAATACCTGATATCCATCAAACTTCAATTCACATGCACCAAAAACATTACTGAGTACTAAGCTTGTATAAGCGGGTAGTGTTAGAACTAAAAATAGGTATACTTTTTGGAAAATTACAAAGACTAAAATGAGATATTTTGACAAATTATTTTCAATATGTATTAAGTAGGTAGTAAATAGATGATTATTAAAAAAAATAAAATATTCCAAATATTTGACTAATTCAAAATGAAAAATGGGGTTGCTCTCTAAAAAAATTGAGATTGTACCATATTTTTTTCTTTGATATACATAATTATCTACTAATCAACATTACTTTTTTTTTTAATTTTGATGAATATATTTATATTCTATTTATTTTTAATTGCATGTTAAGTTCATTTTGTGTGTATTTTATTATTTTTAAATTATTATAATATTTATAAATATATATATATATTCTTCATAATTTTGCTATGATGAGATCTCACATATGGTATGTGTAGGATTCAAAATGAGATTTAAAAAAAACAATAACTTAGAAATTAAATAATAATAATAATAATAATTTTATCTCTACACTCTTTGAATTGTTTTAATTGAAATCTCGTATTTTTTGAATTGTTTTAATCAAGTCTATCTATTGAAGTCTCATATGTTACATATGTCACATATTTAAAAGTGAATGCACCACGTTTATTTACAACTAACAATATTCTAATGGAAGATTTCGAGCATAGAAAACGAAAAATAGATGGCCTCCATTAACATATATATATATATAAACACATGTTCTCAATTAAAACGATTTAAAAATTAAAGAGTCTAAGTATGGACAAAACCCATTAAAATTATGGGGTTATGAGTAGCATGAGTCTAGTTCTCTTTTTCCATTATGGATTACATATCATTAATCTCAATTTGTTAGTAAAATGTGTACATCGAAGGGATGCATGGATCTCAAATTCGCATGGAAAGATGCATGGATCTTTACATTCGCGTGGAGAGATGCAGGGACTTTCACATTCATATGAATCTGTGAACATGAGAGCTTTCAAATATAAATGTACACTATGTTTAATCCAAAAATCTAAATTAGAAGGTTATTGATCCATCTTAATTATCATAACTCATTTTTTACCATCGTAAATTTTTATTTTTATACAAAATTTAAAAAAATTGCATGTTGCATAGTTTTTTTTTTATTATTATTTTTAGATATTTTTATAAATTCTTAGAATTTTTATTTCAATTGAAACTAAATTCTTTCTTTAGCGATTTTAAAAATGCATCACTCACATTGACATAGTATTAAGTTTCTTTAAATACTAGCCCAATGTTCAAACCTAAGAAATAAACAAACCTCCTTAACAATCATACCTCTCTTTAGAATGATCTTATGTTTTGTGCAATGTAATTATTAGTAACAAAAATAAATAAATAAAAATAGTTCCACGCTTGCAGTTAATTTTTATGTACTGTATTTTCTATCAAAAAAATTGTAAATTTAAAAATTATCTTTTAAGAATTTTTTAGTTCATCGAGAGCTTTTTAGGCTTTGGAACTATACATTACATATGGTCATTTTCTATTTTCTATCACCTAATAATTAAAGAAATTAACATAGTTAAAACTCGAAACTACTCTATTAAAAAAAAAATGTATCGAGTACACAACTACTAAACTAAAACTATACCTACTTATATACCATCTACTAATATATATATATATATATATATAATTTTTTTTTTTTTTTTTTTTTTTTGACTCCTTGAAAGCTGATATGGTACTCCTTCCTACTAAATTGTGGCCTAACGCCTTCCACCGTCCCACGTACATATACACGTTTGAAAGTTAACTCTTTTTGTAACTAGAGAATAGGCAAATAAAAAAGTTGATTAACAAGATTTAGTGGCTATCAGCAAATTTAATTAGTGTAAAAAAATTAATTTGCTTGGTGATTCATTTGGTAGGTGAAATTAAAAAATAGACCTTCTCTACCACGAATTGGCCCTGCCCATATTAGCAAGCTATAATATTCCACCTTGTTTTTCAAGATTCAATTGCTTCATTATATATATATATATATATATATATATATTCTAAAAAGAAAGAAAATAATTTCTCTTTTAAAATTTTATTGTAAAATTCAAATATGAAAACAAATAAATTATATTTATCGGTAAATAAAATTTTATTAAAAAATATTAATTGGATGAGAATTTTCATAAAAATGACAAATTCAAAGAATAAATTTTTACATAATAAGAATAATATAATCTAAAATATATGTTGATTTTAAAATATAAAAATAATATTATATATATTTTATCTTCACCACACTATGTGAAAAAAAAATAATGATCGATATTTCATAAGTTTTGTCTAAAAAATCTTGATGACAAAAATTAAAGAAAAGAAAAATAACAAAAAATAAAGGAAAAAAAAACAAACAAGTTGAAAGCTCATGCGCCTAGGCATGGAGAACCAGGCTCACATGCAGGGCAGGCTTGGGCCAAAAAAAAAAAAAAAGTCCATCTTCATTTCTGATGATCTCTGAATTGTTCGGCGACAGATTTCATCAGAAAGTTGGATTTTATTATTTTTAGTCTTTCAAAGCCAAATTTAACTTCATTTTTATCCAAAAACATCTCAAAATCACCATAATAACATTCAAAAAAAAAACTCATTTAAAACTTCAAAATCTATTTTAATTTATACAAAACATACAAAAATTCAAATCAAAATAAATAAAACTCAAAATATTTCATGCTTTCGATCTACCTCCTCCTTCTATTTCCCGACTTACCACCGCTACAAATAGATTCTACTCTTCAAGATAAGCAAAGTGGTGGTAAGATCAACCGTCGAGTTGGGCCGAATGGGTTTTGTTGATCGTTTCTCTCCTTCCTTCTTTCTCTATCCTCTTAAGATGCAAGGACCAAAACAAATAAAAAATGAAGTTTCAAGTTGAAAAAATGTTATTAAA